TCAACACTAAGAAATTGTATACGAGAATGCATAAAATTCTATTTGAAAAACGGTGTAGCATACTGTATAAAAAAAATATGGTTATATTGACTTTCACGTAAAGGTACGAATGATGCCTAAAATTCCATTTAAGAATTGGTGTAGGGCCTACGAAAAAATTCTGTATGAGAAAAAAAATGGTTCTCGACTAACGTAAGCATTGTACGAAATGTATAAGAAAATGCATAAAATCATCATTGAGAAACGGTGTAGTAAAAGTTGCAACTGTGTAAAAATATAACTGTGTCATTTTTGGTGTTTCTTTATTTCCCGCTCCATTATTTTGTAGGAATGGAGTGATGGAGGCTTTATTACCTTCCAAAAGAATGGAGAGGTATCGCCTCCAACGCTCCATTCGGGCAAAATAATGGAGCGCTAGGACAATAGGGTGACGTCACGGGTGGAGTTTGATTATAACGCAACCAGTGTATGACCTCATTTGTTGATTGGATGTACATTCTCTAGTGTGTTATTGCATGGCATGGAACGTGAATACAATACGAAGCAACCAAAAACAAGTATTCCTTATCTCTGTCTCTCCTTAATTGGGTAATTATTGACGTACGACCACAACACATACCTTGCCAAAAATCACAATGAGCATCTTTCTCCTCATTATTTGGATACCGACCAAACCCCCAGGCTGATGGCCTAAGGGAAAATTCACTGTAACCCAGCGACACCACAACAATATTGCAGAAACAATATGAATGGCCATAGGTATTCTTTTTACAACTGATAATGTAGTAACCAACTGATAATGTATCACCAACCGATAATGCCACACAAATTGACCAATGCTGTATCACTAACCGATAATGTAACAGAAATTGAGTCATTAATTGACCGAAAGTTTAGTAAATGTTACTACACTATTGGTCAATATTTGTTACATTATCGGTTAAGACCGATATGTTACAACAATCGAATTTGTTGAATTATCGGTTGGTGATACATTATCCGTTGGGTCCTACATTATCAGTTGTAACAATTCTCCCATACAATGGATTGATCACCACTATAACCTGTAAACAAATATGTGTTCATCCACGGATCCTCTACACAGTAGTCTCGGGTTCGAAACGCTCCTTGTGTTTTTATTCACGAACCATCGCTGATATAGAAGGTGCTGATAGCGGTTCTTCGCTCGCTCGTACCCCCTGCCCTGCAAACAGGACGCTGGGATACTCTGATGAGCTTAACAGAATATTTTTAAGGAAGTGGCCTATGACCTATGTATAAAGCATCTGGCTGAAGCTGTTCAAGACCGCAGTTAGACAATGTGCGCAAATGCTATCCAAAAACTTCCCATAGAATTGCGCGCATTCCATACCAGATGTGATTTCTGTTTCAGTGCGGGCCTTGTGGACAACATTTTGAGCGTCGCACAATGTAATCCCACCGTTCGTGATTCGAAATGGAGCCTGAGCGAGTGAGGGGAATTGTAAATTGACAACACAGATAAGTTTTACAGAATTACCTACATTTTTACACTTTTGAACGAGAAAAAAAAACATGTCTAAGAGTGGAAGAGTAATGAATCAGTCTTAAGAGCCGTTTGAAACCTTGCACAGTAATGACCTTGATGATGCGCAAAATCCAACTAATCAGAGCGTGAATTTATCAGAGTATCCCAGCGTCCTGTTTGATGATGATGCGCAAAATCCAACTAATCAGAGCGTGAATTTATCAGAGTATCCCAGCGTCCTGTTTGCAGGGCGAGGGGTACGAGCGAATAGCGGTTCGTGTGTGTTTGCGTTCGTCAGGCGCCCTTTATATCAGCGATGGTGCGTGATAATGGTTTTAGGTTGATTGTGCGCTCGTTGAATAAAAACACAAGGATCATCTCGGACCCGAGACTACTACACGAGGATAAACGACCTATCTGAGCTTGTGTGAAAGTGTATGGAACGGATTGTCTACATGCGTGATGTGCACTTTGCACTTTCTTTATTTCCAAAACATGTTTATATCCGAAAGGCTCTATTGCCGCTGCACCCACCGAGAGCTCCCCAAATCCCACATTTGACAAAAAAGCAGAGACATTTGAGAAAAACAAGTTTTAAGTGGTTAATATTTGAGAGCGAGGATAGTCATTAACCCTGTGCACCATTCGCCATCAATCATGGATACTTGTGACACTGAAGAGATGTTTTGTTTTCATAGTTAGTGAAATTTAAAATTTGGATGAGATCTTATTATAATCACACCTGGATGGCAAGCTGCTTTGCACCTGTGAGCCCATGCAATGTAATTGTTTTAATGCAATCCTTGAAAACACACCTTTGTGTCCCATTTAACCTTATGTTCAATTTTCGTTTTTGCCATTTTCAACGGTATTTTGGTGACTTTTGGTTTTATGCTAATGCGAATGTTCATATTAATGTGCAAAACTGTGATGCCATTCCGGGCAGAAACCCCAAGATAACAGCTATTTCAGCACACACCAAAATACTGTAGAATTTGGTATATTTTGCTGTTCTCAATGTTCTTTTTTTTGGGGGGGGGGGGTGATTCGTCGTAGTGTCAGTACATATGGCAGTAGGCAAATAAGTTAGTAACCCTTTCCTACAAATATTTTCAATAAGCAAAATTTTTGGTTCACAATTTGAACAGAAAACCCTTAAACTGAACAATGCCTTCCTGAAATGATATCACAGCAACGGCGCCCAAAATTGTCTTAAAAAACATGGAAAATTGAAAATGCTTAAAGAGTGCACTTTTCAATAAAACTAACCGCAAAAAGATGTAAAACAGTTTTCATGCGTTTAAGAAAAGGAGAAAGTTGCACAAATTGTTTACCTATGAGAAAAATACATCCGTGGAACTTTTAAGCATTTAAAGGTCTGTGAAACCAAGTCACCGAGAAGATTACAAAATGTCTTGAGACTTTTATACCAAATTTTGGACGACACGAATTATAAAGAAAAAATTCCTTTTCTTTCATTACTAACGCCTTGTCGTAAAAGTTGGTATCTGAAAATTTCTATGCAAAACTCCTTCCACCGAGGGTTCATGTAGAAAAAAAATCAGACGGTTATTTATTACTCCCCATCACATTCAATTAACTTCGGCAGCGACCGCAAGCCCCGTTTGAAAGAAAAAGTTCAGACCGGATCAAGGTACCAACTTTGACGACAACGTGTTGGTAATGTTCAGAGGGGGTGTAGAGGGTCGACCCCCCACTGGCCTGCTCTGACACCAAAGGAAATTAAAACAATTATAGTACTAGCCTATATGTCTGCCTGTCCTCTCCAATCGGCCCCCACCTCAAAAAATCATTGATCCGCCCCTGCAATCTCTTATAATCCAACTTCAAGGCGCATAGGGTAATTTGCTCTCTGTGAATTTATATAATTGTATCTTTGTGCATACAATTTGTAAAGTTTATCAGTTATAGACGATATTTGAATTATCATGACAACGTCACACGTCATATGTTACGTCACATTACAGAGAGACGTTAAAAAACCTGTATCTGCAGAAATATAGATTCAACTTAGCTCTAATTTGGTAATCTGTTATATATTACAAGTTGGGTGACGTCGTGATGACGTCATCAAATGTCATGTGACGTCACATATTTAATGTGCTGCATTATGTCAACCTTTTATTTCTAAGCCAACAGCCGTGAAATTGTGTTCATACTCAGGGACATGTAATACTAATGACAACTGATGTACGTCATGATATTGTCATCACATGTCAATTCACATCACATGAAAAGTGTCTAACCCTTTAATAATGATATCGTGTGGTATGAAACCATATTTAATTCTAGACACCCAAATATTTACGGAACCTTACAACTGTACACCCGACTTCCATCAAACTTTTACATACCAGATGGCACTAAAATTATTGTCGAAACAGCTATGGGTTTTGTCCACGGCTCAATTATAGTTACAACAATTGACTCGCTTACAGTCCGCGGGGTAGACTTGCGCCCAATTATGACTTGAATCAACAATGAACAAATGCGACGGTCAGACTAACAACGGCGATATAAAAAATGAAACATTGCTAGCAGGCATCCTTACGAAAATCATCTTCAATGATTGTGTAGGCTACTCTGAAACGACACAATTTCCGGCGAAATAATTTCACAGGGTATTTTGCTACATCTATGTCCAGAATTAAATCATGATTGGGGCCATCCAACATGGACCTGCTGAAATGGAAATGAATCAATGGAAATTTTCGATTGTTTACAGGTCCGTCTTTTTTCAACTATTTCATGGAAGAATACATGTGGCATGTACTTTCAGCAAACTTGTCCCTTGCGTCGCTGCGTTGTAGTGCATTCCCCCCCCCCTTTTTTTTTTAAAGAAGTTCTCATGTAACACTTTCCTGATCTAGGATATGGACGCCCAATTAATAAGCATTCATTGAGTAAAACAATCATTCAAAGCGTTCATGTTGTTTTCCAGTAATATAATTTTGAACACAAACACAGTTTTTTAAGCTTTAAAACTTGTTTGTGATGTACTCGATTTACGCCATAAGCACGCACTCACATACATGCACAGCCTTCGATTAATGAAATGAAACTCGTGAAATTGGGCTAAAATTAACAAATTGGAAAGCTATACTTTATATTTTCCCCTTAAATTGCAGTAGAATACATGATGCATCATCATAGATTTCAAAATGTTCAGGGTGCGCACGCCCCCAGACCCCCTAACAGGATGTACATTCCATATCAACACCCCACGTCCTGTTGCAAGAAAGCTAGAACCGCCCCTGGTGACTGTGTAAACTTTACACAGATGTACTAAAACTAAAAAGTCAAACTGCAATATACCGGTCGTGTTAATGAATAATTATGAAAGACAGCTAGCCTGTTGCTTACATTCGATACCAAATAACTGTTTTGCAAGAATATGAAATGACATAATTGTTAAGTGTATACCTAGGCGTTTTGAGGATTGTTGAAATGTATTACATTGACGAAAACTTACGTTAATTGTTGGCGTTACTGAGCTGATGACTACACGGTGCAGGATGCAAAGGCTATGTAATATTCAAATGCAGTATGGCTGCATCAAACGAATGCATTGCACTGTATATATCTTTTACAAAGGGTATCCAACTGCAGCTATTCGTCATGTCTCGTCATGTTTCGTTTCATGAGCCCCCTTAGTTTACTCGTTTCGCCTGGCTGCCATTTTAAGGTTTGACAATGGAGCTGCACACAATGTGCAGTGCTGAGACATTGTTTTTCAAAGAGAGAGAGAGAGAAAAGAATGCCAGTACCGTCTTTTATATCAGCCTACGCTTTGTCTAACCCTGTTTTTTTGTTGTGGGACGGGGCCGAGGCCAGGTGTTCATACGAACTCCCTTAGAGTATGGACTGGTTCACTTTTTATTAGGTATCGGATAACATTTGTCATGATGGGACTTTTCCTTGGTAAGTTTGGAAATGCCTATTTTTAATTTCATCAATTATTACTCCGGGGTTCATAATTCATATTTGAGTGTAGAATCTACAATTCTGTTTCAATGAAAATGTACACAAAAAGATGTGCCTAAATTAACGGCTATGGTACTGGACCCATGTGACTAAAACCCCTATAAATATTCGGTAATGGTACAGGCTTGGAAGTCACGGGCGGTTGGACCAAAGGAATGATTGATTTTGAGTATCAACAAAAGAAGTGGCAGTTCACGTCGCATTCACGCAGGGTAACCGCAGCCTGGCAAAAAAAAGCAGGTGACACATCAAATATTACACAGATCAGCCGAATATCACAGGCGTTTGTCCTGTGTTAAGTACATGCTGCTGTAACTCTAATTTTGTGTTTTGGATATGAGGAAGGAATTGGGTAGTCTGAACACCATACATTGGGTCGTATGTAAAAAAAAAATATAGCATTTGCTTTTACTACCTATTTTTAAGCATTTACTTAAAAATGAAGCAAATGCCTTTACTGGAAAGCATCTGCCGAAAGTTAAAAGTATTTACATTTTACATATTAGCTTTAGCTAGACTGGATGTGTTTACTTCCTTTCGTATTAATAAAAAGGAGTAAATGCTTCAGATTTCAACTGGTCATTTTTCAAGGCTGGGTTGGGGCAACCTTGAAAAAATAAGGCAAATACTTCTGCGCAAAAACTGCTGCATTTATTAATATTAATCGCCCCAAAATTAACACAAAGCGTTAATAAACTACATATAATGCCATACACTGTATTTTGAAAAACATTTATGCGAAATTTAAAGTTTCTTTTATTATTAATTATTATTATTAATTTATTATTATTAATTTTGTTTACGATATGAGAAGTGTTAGCGTAACATTCAGTGCGACATATAGAATGATTAAGGATCAATTTTATTCAGCGTCAACCTGGGGACTGAACAAAATAATATCATTTTTCTGTGTGTTTATAATGTCACCAATCTTTGCAAACTATCATTTTATTTTAATATTTCAATAAACAAAACTCTTTGTGTCTTGAATGTTGGTAGATTGTACCCACTTTAACACATGTCTGTGATTTTTATGCAATTGTGACGTAGACAGGGCCTTTACAATTTTCATGAATGATGAAAATATACTTGCGAAAAGTGTCACAGTTTTTGCTAGATTTGAGGATCAAATGTAATCATTCATGTTTAACATGAATTATTACATTTGATCCTCCAATGATCGTCAACAATAGGGTGTACGAACTTCCACACACGCAGAGAGTTTACACGTAGGGTAACAGTCCAATTCAAGGTGATGCTGTCATCATGACGGCATCACCTTGGATTGGACTGTTACCCTACGTGTAAACTCTCTGCGTGTGTGGAAGTTCGTACACGCACAATATACCCTGTTGTTGACGATCATTCGTCCATAAAAACAATCCAGCAGTAAGACGCATTTGCCACCTGTTGTAAAGTAAATGTTGAACAGTAAAGGCAAATTGTATTCATACGAAATCAAGCATTTGCGTTTCCTTAGACCCCTCTCACACCAATGCGTAAAGCCATTTCGTGGCCACTTCGAGGTGTCCGTAGGCGCAAGAGTTTAAAAATCGAAGTTACCACGAAATGGAATCGGATCTCACGGGTTGCCACGAACTAACCACGAATTAAGGACGTGTCGATTCCTTCCGTGGGCCGATTCTCACGGATGCTCCACGGATCACCCAAAAAGTTTTTGAAACGTGTGCACTTCGGATATGTATTGCCGAATTGAAAACGTTTTCAATAGGCCTATGGCTTATTCGAAGTACTCTCGTAGTATTCTCGAGGTTGGGCTGAAGTTACATCGGATTTTACGAGATGGCCCCGGATTGATTGTTGGCCTGTTTTACGGCCGTTTTCATTACGCGGTACTCGATGGTACGTTAGAGTGAGCTCCGGAGTCCACGAAGTGTCCACGAGTTGGCCACGAAGTGCTCACGGACTACGCGTACGTAGTACTCTCGAGCTGGCGCCGTAGTCACTACAGACACCACGTAGTAGTCTTGAGCTGGCGCCAAAATCATCACGGGATGCAATCGGGATGACCACGAGATGTCGCCAGCGTGCAGTCCGTGAACTCCAGGAAACGGACATGAGCACGGGTTGGTCCCGTGGTGTTTCCGAGGTGGCCACAGATTACTCACAGAGTAAAAACCGATACCACGAAATACAAACGTTCTGGCATCAAAAAAACGGACCCAAAAAACCCCGGAGACCACGCATACTGTTGAAAAAAAATTACATTTCCAAAGTGACCTCGCACTGGTCTTGGATTGGTGTGAGAGGGGCATAAATGCTTGTACATCAAGTGAATCAGTTGACTTTTTGCATGAACTTCCTCGCATTTGCTAGGACCCATTGACTTGTGCAAAGCCACGGTAGAACGTCTAACATGTCTCTACTTGCAAATGTTATTCGCATCAGCCAATCGAAGTCGACATTAAAGACTGTGTCTCAGTGGCGTAGCAAGGAATTTTTCAGTGGGGGGGGGGGGGCTGGGGGGGCTGGGGGGCTGGAACATTTCATGGGGGGCGTCTTGTAGATCAACGATAATTTTTTTAGAAACTCAAAATCTCAGGGGGGGGGGGACTGGGGGGCGACAAGGTTTCATGTCGCCCCCCCCCCCCCCCGTGGCTACGCCACTGCAGGTCATACAGTTAAAGTTTATGTAAACCTGTATGAAAAACCAAAAGAAAAGTAAGTCCCATGATCTATTTGACACTAAATTTGTGTTAGCTTGCCGGTAACGCCTAAACTTATCCAGACAAATATGTTTATTTTGTAACATTTTATGTTCGTCTGTCGGTCTTCTATGCTGTTATGTTTACCTTTAGGTACCTTCAATGGTACTATATGTTTAATTAACCTGTTTATTTGTTTAATTAAACTAATAACTTGCACATATAGTTGCCAAGTATGGCACTAACAAGTTTGTGGTCGGCAATTTCGTCTTTAAACATCTGGGTACGTCGGGTTACCGTACACGCAATTGTCCTGGAGACAACAGTAGCGAAGTACAGAGTCGTACGCAAGAGCTCCCCAGAAAGTATGGGTGACGCCATTATGATTCCAAAATTTCTCACTGTGTCACACAGTGAAATAACTAAACAGCGTTGTTGTATTGTGAACACATAAAAGCATTCAAGTCGCGTTCTTGCACACTCTCTGCAATTCGACATAGATATCCTTGAACCACTGCCCCTGCTTTGCATGACAAGTGCACATCAATGAACGATTCGACTTTTATTCAAAGAAATTTCTATGTACAGTCACCAGACTCTATTCAGTAAAGTCCCCGTCAAAACGAAAGTAGACTATCAACGTGCATAACGCACGGCTACACCATCGTACAGTGTGGCAGCGACACCAACAAGTAACAAAACAACTAAAACATTTGTAAACAAATTATAAATATTCTGGTTGAATTTCGTTAAAAGATACTTGTCGGTGAGGTATCACATATTCTAGCAAATTGATAAAAATGTACAAAATTACAATATGCAATTTTGAGGGAAATGGGCAAAATACTGCATAAATAATTTCACTTGATCATATTTATAATACACAAACCGACAATTTTCATTTTCAGACCCACAACGAGAAACTATGTTAACACTGGGCTTATTGTGAGGAGTTGTGCTGGGAATCCATGAAGATGTTATTTTCAACATTATTTCTAAACAATTTAATGGGACATTCCTGTGACATGAGCCTTCCAGATGAATCCAGACGATTATCCAAACCCCTGCAAATAAAACAGATTTAATATTCCATTCATACAATTAAAGTACTATTGAAAAGTAAATTGTACAAATCATACGAAACCACACGAAACGAGACATGACGAGACGAGACAAGACGGGGAGATGAGACAAGACTCAGCAAAAAAATCATAGAGTGAAACATTAGACAAACCAGACAAATACAAAAATATAATAACGAACTCATCAATAAATACTCTTACAACCCAACAAACAAACAAACAAAACAAAACAAACGGGCTAAAAAGATTATTACAAACAAACAAAACAAAACCGAGAAACAAAAGCAATCCCATTCCCTAGAGAGGAAAATGCAAACCATAAAAACAAACAACCTAGTTCACTTGCATAGGTCTACACTCACATTAACTACACACACTAAAGAAACAACAAGAAAATACCCGGGAACAAAATGAAATAAGACACAATTTTACATTGACGATAAAATAAATATGACTGCAATAATTCCTCCCTCAGTTTTGAAAGGAAAGATTCACAACCTTCCATAGTTACACCTTTTACTAATTTTAACTCGGTGACTTCGGAGAACATCAATGAGGCAATCGAACAGTTCTCGTATCTTGTAACCCATGTGTCTATCAGTTCCAAGTTTCACTTGGTGACACGTTAAAGGCTGTGCGACGGAGCTGCCCTGCAACTCATTCCTGAAATTATTGTTGCATTCCCCATTAGTTCATTAACTTTATACTAGAATCAACAATATTATCTATGATAATGAATTTGGCGGGAAACAGAGCTTTCACACAGTGACTAAACTGGTTTATTTTACGTTGTGGGGATTCCTCCAACGTCAGGCTTTTCCTTGGTTTCAACACCGGTGTCGGAGTCTCACAACACTAACTGGGGGAACCAAGTAAGCCAAAGATTCTAGCTGAACCGAGTGGGCACGGTACGAGCCATCGCTTCGCAGAGACGGCCGGACTGAAGCGGGAGCGGCCCGCTACAGAGACTGGGAAGCAACAGCTGGACGGGGCC